TAGTAGTAGTAGTAGTAGTAGTAGTAGTAGTAGTAGTAGTAGTAGTAAGAGTAGTAGTAGTAAGAGTAGTAGTAGTAGGAGTAGGAGTAGGAGTAGGAGGTGGAGGGTGGAGTAGGAGAGGAGGAGTAGTAGGAGTCGTCGTCGTAGTAGGAGTAGGAGTAGGAGTAGGAGTAGAGGAGTAGTAGGAGCTGTAGGAGTAGTAGGAATAGTAGGAGCAGTAGGAGTAGTAGGAGTAGGAGTAGGAGTAGGAGGTGGAGGTGGAGGTGGAGGTGGAGAGGAGGAGTAGTAGTAGTCGTCGTCGTAGTAGGAGTAGGAGTAGGAGTAGAGGAGTAGTAGGAGTAGTAGGAGTAGTAGGAGTAGGAGTAGTTTGTTGTTGTTGTTGTTGCTGCTGCAGCTGCTGCTGCTGCTTTGGGATGACTGGTTTGGAATAGTTCCTCTGGGTGGATCTGGAATCAAGATGGGTCGTGTTTCTATTTGCTCAGCTCAGTTTCGGATGGCCCTGTTCGGGGCCACGAACGTTGAAAGACGGGACCCAGTGGGGGCGGCCTATCCGATGAGTCCGAGACGAAGACCGAAGTTGATGTCTTCGGACTTCCCGTCGGTTGATCGTCACAGTTGGAGCACCTGGAAGTGGACCTCACAATTTGTGGACGTCCATGGGTTGAGGTCGTTTGAGACTTCAGATTTGCCGGATGAAGGATTGGTGATAACTTGATAGCTTTGGAATCTCCTTCCCGGCCTTCCCTTTCCATGAAGTCGTCTTCAGGAAGGTAGAATCAGAATCGGAGGGTCAATTCAATGACATAGGATAAACGGCCATCGGGTTGTCAAGGAAAGCACCCTGCTAGGGCCTACTTCAAGGTCGGTGTGTATCCTGGTGCGGAAGGTGGAACGGAGGCCGCTCAAACACAACCTTCGGACCTTGCGAACCAAAAGCATCCAAAAGCCCTCACAGCTGTGCAAACCAGGGCAGGGCGGAACCCAACGCCAGGCTTTCGAATGCGGCACATGCGACTGAAAGGGGAGAAACTGGAGAACTCCGACGATTCTAGCCAGAGGCCTCAGGTTGGGGCCGACCGTTTTTTGAGACTCTTGCGTGAGAGGCATAGAACGTGCCTCGGGTTGGCTGCTTTGGATGACCCACTCAAGGGGGTGTTGATGCTGATGTGATACAGCTCGAGATGACTGAATGTGCACGGAACGCCTTATTGCAGACTTTCCATGCCCAACAAACACCTGTGTGCATGGAAGTGGTATGTTGATGATCCAGTAGCAAACAATCCAAGAGTACCCTCCTTGACTCCCTTTTTCCCTTTGTATGTGTGTTTCAACCACCTTCTTCACCACGCGGAGCCGCGCTGAGGCAGCGATTCCTCGAGCAGCGATTCGACCAGCGACGACGCGGAGGATCTCAACGTCGAGGGCATCGAGGCGATCCTGGGTGCCTTGGTTGAGATCGGCGGAGCGGAAGGACGTGAGTAGCTTCTTGTTCCTACTAGTAAGGCACTTGTTACTACTAGCGAGGCACTTGTTACTAGGCTTTTTTTTGGGGGGGGGTTGTGATGTTAAGAGGTGTGTTGATGGCATTGTGAATCTAAGGTAGCTGATTGGGAGACCATGATTAGATGGTTCCAGGATCATATGATTGAGAGATGTACAATTGCAGCTTGTTCAGGTAAATCTTCCAGTACTTTCCGAGGACAGTACTGAATCTATTGAGCACATTGCAGATTTCAGATTCTTTCAGATCGCATCGATTGACCCAGGATTGCTTAACCACGATAGATCGTTCGGTTTGGTCACCTAATCCTGAGGTCCCGGCATCCACCTGGGCGAGAAGAAGCGTAGCGTCCGGACCCGGTGCTTCACCGGTCGCTTTTTCCGCGCGTGGAAAGCGTCCCCCGCGGCGGCCGGCGTGAACCAATCTGTGGGAGTTGATTGAAATCCGCCATATTTCTTGGACATGTGGATCATCCGCGCCACGCATCCACCGCCCACTTCACTATCTTCACTTCCCGCCCCGAAATGCCATCCTTCCTCATTTGTTCACCATCAGGGCACCCGAACAGGCCACAAACCGTGCTAAAAGGTACTTGGCGATCTTTGAGAACCTGAAAGCAACCTGAAAGGATTGACCCAAAGATGTCTTTCTCGACATTCAGTGGCTTAGCCATGAGAACCACATACTGCTACAATACATCCTGTATAGAACCCAGGCAAATGAAAAACACATGAACACCTTCTAGAACCCTACAATTATGTCCACAAATAATTTTTCGCATGGTCTTTGTGGTGCCTTGATTAAATTCCAAAGCTGGCTGTTTCACAGGAAACGTTCAAAATCCTCAAATCGTTGAGAATGGAGTGTTTTCCATCAAACATTGTTCCTTTATCATGTCGCCAAAAAGTGGTGTGGATGCCACAAAAGACCACCAGTGAAGTCTAGTGGTTTGCTAAAAGGGAAGCACAACTCTTTTGTTTTTTTCCAACCAGTGGCTTTTGCATGGTCTGGCAGCTGCCGTTTTTTCCAGTTAAGTTATATACGCCCTCTTACGACCTATTTCGCGAAATGGACAGCTGACACGTCCCACAAAAAGGCACTCTCCAAAGGCACTCGGGAAACCGTCCGCCAACCCCCGAGGTCTCGATGACGGGCACGGAGGACGCGGTCGTCACGGAGGACGCTGCCCGTGCGTAAGATGCCGAGACCGGTTGAACTGGCCGCTCTAGAGTCTACAAGGTGCACAGTTAACCTGATATCTTCAGAGGGTTTCTAGGACTACTGTAAGATTGGTTTCGGTCTCCTATTTCTGAGTTCTTCCTTCTCCATCGTGTGTGAGGTCGCGGCGCCGGTGCGATGGCAACGGCTCACCCAGCGGTGTCTGAAAAACATGGAGCGTGGCACGGCGCTGACTGGGGGAGGAGCTGGCTGAAGCTAACTGGAGATGATGAGAGGGAGGGCAATGTGCAATGTGCAATGTGGTGGATTGGGCACGTGGTGACTTCATGAACAGCTCGCCTTGTTGCATAGACAGCCCCCTTTCCTGAAGGGTAGTGAGGAGTTTTGCAACATCCATGAGAGCCAGTGAAGATTCCCAACAAACGTTGGTGATTGGGTTCCTAGCCGGTTCAGGTGGACATGAATTTGAAGCTGAACCCACCAAGAGATGTCTGAGTCCTTTGGCATGAACCATCGACCGCCTGGAGTCAACGCCGAAGAATGGGTTTCTCTTGCTGATTCATTCGAACAGACTGATGGACATGTGTCCATTTAACCAGAGATTCACAGCTCGCATGTTCTCTTTCTTCTGACTGGTGCTTAGAGGCTTAGCAGAGAATAGGGGAAGGACACCCCACTCTAAATGCCTCAGGAGGAATCCTTAAGATCCATTACCTTACTGAGCCCCTGTCAGTTTTGGTCCTCACCACCGGCTGGCCAACCTTCAGTCTTGGTCTCGCGAAGTTCTTGGATCGCTTCTGGGCTCTGTGAGAATTCAGAATCAACGAACTCAGCTAGCTTCAACTCCACCGAAGAAATGGACACAGTATGACACAGTATTGCTAAAGATACCCAGTATGACACAGTATGCATCGCACCATCGCAGAAAAGCTTCAGATTCCATGCCCATCGCGGAGAAACAGTCCCACAGCGAATGCACCAGTGAATGTCCCACAGCGGTGCCCATGGCTGCGCCTCCGATGGTTTGAGTTTGGGTCCCAGGTTCAGTCTCCGCCCGTCTGGTCCGCAGGTTCCGGAGGTTTGGAGTGGCTCTTTCTCCCATTTTTCGAAGGTCCAGACTGGTGGTTGAGCGGCTTTTTGCCACCAAGAGATGCTTCCTGTCTGGTTGGGAGGATCTTTCGCACGAACGATGGTCGCATGCAGACCATCCGGGTCGATGGTCGGGTCACACCAAGGGTGTCATGACCGAGAACGCAGCTCCACGGTGCGAAGACGGGGCGAAGCGGTTGGGGCAGAGGGCCTGATCTCCACAACCCGTTTTTGAGGGAGAAACAACACGTTCGATTTGTGAGGCAGCCCTGGCAAGCCATTGGGCAATAAGATGAAGCAGGATGAAAGATGATCAAAACATATCAAAACATATCAACACCTAGATTGACAGTGTTGAGCTTGGGTTTTTGTGGTGCCAATTCTTCCAAGCGACCGAAAGGTTTTGGACGATCTTCAGATCGATGAGGATCTCAACAAGCGAGGCTACCTTCAGTAGGGCCTCAGTAGGGTGTCTCGCTTGGATAGAAGCCCCCTGAAGCCCTCCCCTGCTTGTCCTGCAGTGGGAACTAGACTTCGATGTTTTTCCGAATCTTTTCCCAGAAGGGAGGACCAGTTCTGATGGTTTTTGTGCGCTGGCAAGCAGTTTCTCTTTTTAATGCTTTTGAACATCCCAGCAAGTCGCAGTGAGTCGTATGGCGCTCTGAGTTCGAGGCTGTTCGTTTGTTCCTCACAGAGACATCGTACTCGGGAACCCCGAGACAAGCACCGCGGTTTGCCCGTCGATGAGCGAACTCAACAATTGGTGAGGATCTGGAGAACAGCGCTTCCGAAACGAACTTTAGGGATGCCAAGAGAATGGACTTCGGGTCTCCTCAAAATAGGAGCCAGGACGCTAGGAGCAAGGACGCTACTAGGGGGCATTTCAAGAACAGTCCGTTTGTTTGAGGAAGACCTTAAAAGAATTCCTCGCACCACAAAGTCTGGCTGTAAGAGGGGAGTCTGGCTGTAAGAGGTACATTTGCTTCCTCTGCAAGCGGAAGTTCGCCAGTGCCGCACTCCTCACGAAGCACAAGCGCCGCCCTTGGTCGATCCACTCCACTATTTTTTTCTTTTTAAATCCATTGGCAGGGCCGGGCAACAGAAAATCGGTTTCAGATGTTTGTCAATGCCAAGATGTTGGAGTCCCAAATCCTTGGCGATAAGAGTGGCCTCTCCAACACAGCTTGGTGTGGTCCGAGACAGGCTCTCCGTTCCGTTCCACGAGTCTTGGTCGTCCTCAGCGTGCGTTCGAAGGAAAGGAGCGTTCGTGGGATCCTTCGCGGTGGTCTTGCCAATCCAACTGTCCTGCCAAATTTCACGCCAGATATACTGAATGGATTGAAACACCCAATCAAGGACATTTGCTGACAGTTTGACTCAAATCAAGACCAAGCCAGTTTGGCTCGGAGTTTCATTTGGCTGTGATCACACAGCCCAGGGGGACAAGGAGCAGATTCCGAGAACAAACTCTGCAACCAATCCCCAACAACCAATCCCCAACAACCGTCCGACCGCACCACCGACCGTCTCCGACCGGCTCCGACCATCTGAGCTTCAGCGGGACCCGAGGCAACTCTCTGAGCTTCACCGGAGAAACCTCACCAAGCAGGCGTCCGGCCCGGCGGAGGGGAAAACCGACCGCGTGAAGATGATGGGCGAAGTGGAGTTTTCGAAGAAATAAGTAGCAGGAGGTGCGCTGATGTTCCAAGAAAAACGATACTATCGAATAGAGACTACAGTTATAGTATACCTCGATTTTGAGTGGATTTCAATCTCACCCATGCTGCCTGACACGGAATGCCATGCGCCTTATGCGGGAATGTATCTTCTGTGAACGGCCTGAGGTTCACTGGAAGCGCAAGGATTCCTCACCCGCAAAACTCACAAAGCTTCGTCAAGATCTGGAAGCCTAAGCCCGTTGACATTTGCACTTCTAAACCAGGGTTTCTTCCAGCTAAAAGTAGATGGTCAGTTTGGTAAAGCCCAAGTCACCAAGCCTTCTCCTGGTCTTTGCAGCCCAGCCCCTTTTCCTCGAACAAACATGGTGATCACATGAACAGCCAGCCTTGCCTTCATAGACCCTCTTCAAAATAGCACCAGAAAATGCCGTAAGTGCTGAAGACCAGTCAGACCCAGGGCCGATCTTCGTGCTGATAGGTTTCAGGGGTAAGTGCAGAGGTGGCGCCAGGGTGGTTTCGGCTGAACTTCTCCAGCACTATACTCCTCAAGTTCTGCTATCATCATCACTAGCAGTCACTGGCACAGATAAAGACACCGTGTTACACGCCCCGCACAGTCGCCTGCGTAGCTGCACTGTTTAAGGGTCGATTTAGAGACTTTGTCAATGATTATTTCAAGGCTGTGCCCAGAGAATCTCGAACTCTGTTGGAGTTATTTTCTTGCAAAGTATGAAGAGGTCTGAAAAGTGTCCAATCAACATGAAGGGGCTCTGGTCCGGAAAGTGTTGGCAAGCAGGGCTTTTGGGAATCCTCAGTTCCTTTATTCACCTGCTTTCTGGCCAAAGTGAAGAAGATGTCAGCCAGCCTCGGCACTCCAGGCGTTCTGAGCCCACTCCAGCCTCGGTGTCACGGCGTTCTTCGTTCAAACGCGTTCGACTCCGCCAGCGCCAGGAGGAAGAGAACCAGCAGCGGAAGGAGGCACAGCGGGTGAGTCGGCGACGGGCTCGTGGAGTCGGTGCGGCGACGAGTCGGGCGACGAGGCGCAGCGACTGGTCTTTCGGGGAATCCGGGCCTTTTCCATCCATCAAGCCATCATGCCTGGTTTGTTGGGAATGATCTATACCCAAGTTTCGCCATTCGCCCACCGAAGTAGAGTTCTGCAGTCGAACCATCCCGAAGCTGAAGCTTTTTTAGATCCACTCCAGCATGTTTTAGGACCCCATCAACTATGGTAACTATGGTGCTGGATTTTTCCTTTCTATTCTTGGGGTGGTTGAGGACGGATTCTCTTTCTTCAAAGCATTTCTTTCCTGTATCAGTAATTGGGGTGGTTTCTTTCTTACTGTTTAACATTTCTATTGTTGGGTAGCTTCGTTCTTCATTGGAAAGGCTCCGTCTGCTCCGCCCAGGAGCTCCGCCAAGCAGTGGCAGCGGTGAAGCGCCAGGTCCAGGACGCTCTTCACGACGGCTTTTGTGCGCCGCTGCTCGGGGTGGAGAGCGGGAAGCGAGGAGTTTGGGGGCCATTCTTGGGTTAGGGCCAGTGGCTTTGATACCTTTTTCTCCGTTTGAGGATGTGAGATGCACGCATTTGGATGGTGATAGATGGTGGTGGCGTGGTGACGTGGTTGAATGCATGCACCGACCTTCGTCGCTCAGGCCTGAAAGGCGCTCTGTGACACGCACGAAGTCAACTGATTCTAAGCTCAACATGTTTCGTTTTGAAGAAAACACGGGGCCACGCCTTGGCTGCCAACAACCTGGTGAGATGTATATGTATTATGTATTCGCTCAATATTGCTCAATGATGTCTTCTATGGTCGTCCAATCAGTTTCTACACCAAGCAACCGTTCAATTTGGGCGCAGAAATCCGCTCTTGAATCAGCTGACTTCATGCCGTCATCCTGGACGGAACTCCCTGGCCTCGTCAGTGACTTCATCCCATCACACGCACACGTCGCACGCAGGAGGTGGATGTGGCGTTGAGTAAACTGGAGACGCCTGAGGAGGCACGAGGACGTGGGCGGATGAGGAGGGCTTTGGTGCCGATGATGCGAACGTCCACCCTCTGACCTGCGAGTCAGTGACGAGGTCCATGGTGTGCTGATAGTGTGTGCTGATAGAGGTTCTTTCAGGACTTTGAAGAGAATGCCGTTGGGGGATGCTCGACAGGGAAATGATGCATCTCCCACTACTTGCGGTGTTTGGCTTGTGTGCTTACGGTGTTTCCAATCTTTCTTCCAAACCAAGGCACCTCCTCTCGTGTTCGTGTCAGGCGCTCCTTACTCAGCGCCAGAACCTGGAGATGAAGTGCCGCCAGGTGTGAAGAACAGACGAAGCTGCTGCCGGGCACCGGTGGGCCACCTGATTGGTGGGTTTTGGCAGGTGGTTGGCCGCTCAGGTGCTGTAATGAAGTGCTCAGGTGCAACGGGTTGAGCGGGGTGCTGTTCTTGCAGCAACCGGAGGCATTTGAGGATGGGGATGCAATTCCACAAGGTCCTTAGAATCTTGGTGTGGTCAAAACCATTTGGGTACCCCCACTCAGACTTTGTTGTTGAGACAAACTTGGTTCTCCGCTGGTCTCCACACTGCTCCAGGGTCCCTTGATGCATGTGTATCTCGGCTGTTGGAAATGGATGGAGCTGCCAGAGCTTCCTGGAGTAATTGCCATACTACGAGTCTCTTTACTTGGAAGGGAATTGCTGAGGAGAAAGTTTCATGAATCAATCAAACACCCAAGGTTTCCTGTTTCTCCCTTGCCTTCGGAACACACATCTGGAAATGTCCATCCGACGCATTCTGAGATTCATTCTTCCTGATGCTCATATGCGAATTGATTGAAGGTAAGTCAGTTGAAGGCTCAAAAGCCGGGGAGCTCCAACGATTGGTCTTCATAGTGATCTTTTCATATTGTAAATCAACTTGCGGAATATCTTCAGCCATGGTGCCACCACGGTCTCCGGAGCGGCGGGCCGCTCCATTGGCTTTGCTGCAATGCGCAGGCCATGAGTGAGTATGGGCAGGCCATGGGTTCCAGTTCGGTGGGTGGAGCGTGAGCGAAGGAGCGTGGGCCAAGAAGGCAGAGATGGAAGCGAAGGATGGGCCCGAAACAACACCGAAAGGGAGCGTGCAGTGCAGTTTTAAAAAACAGACACGTGCACTGAACATGTGCATTTCGGAACAAGAAGACAAGACTAGCAGCACAGAATCAAAATCTGTGATGAGTCGGGCTGTTTTTCTTTGCCCTCTGCATGGTGCCAGCCGACGACCAAGGTCCAGGAACGGCTGGAAATCAGCCGACACCAGCAACTCTGTGAGCGCCAAGGCGGTCGCACCGTTTTTCGTATTCGTTTCGTTTTGGCCCCATGTCTTGGTCGTTGGTGGTTAGACCAGTGGAGACACCCTTGGTTAGACCAGCATTGCCATGTGAGCCCTCTGAGATGGAGATTCCTTTCTGCAGATCTGGACGGATCTGGACGGAGCCTGGTCATCTTGAAACTAAACACGACAATCGAACCAGGAGAATCGGGGAACAAAGGATTGATTCGTGGCTCCAGCCATGCTATTCAATTGACAGTCATTTTGACTGTTCCAAGACCCGTCGCTTGCTGTTCTGGAATCATGCTCGAATGGGTCTGGATTTTATCACGAGGAAACTCGTCCAAGCCAGGTGTGGCTTTCAGATCCTTGCTGGTTGCTACGAACTGGTCCGCACGCAGGTTGTTTGATTCTTGTCCCTTGTATTCCGGACTTCTCCCAGTCTGCTTCCCGGTACTCCGTCACGCCGTGGCTCCGCCGTGGCTCCAGGTGATGGTGCACCGGCCTGGTCGCTGAGCGGTGCTCGATGCCCCGGTGTTGGCCTGGAGTCGACTTGCAGTTGTTTGCCTCAACAGTAGCATAGTCTGCTAATCCCCAGCGCACGGCCTTCAGAAAATGATGGTCTGCGAATCAACAGCGACCGATTTGAGTGGAGTTTTTTGAGGTGTTTCCAACGGGCACAAGTGTTCCCACTATCTTGACCGTGGGAAGCGATTTTTGGGAGCTTGGTTTGGGAGCTTGGCTTATTATAAGGTATTTGCTGATGACGGGTTACCACTCCTCAAAAAAGCAGGTTCGGTGCCGCTTGACAACCTTTTGGTGCCCAACACAATTCAGGACATAAGCGAAAGCAAACGCCAAAGACCAAAGACCACAACAAGAACAAGAACCAGAAGAAAATAAAAACAGCAAGATGAAGATCAAGATCAAGATCAAGATCAAGATCAACAACAACAACAACAACAACAACAACAACAACAACAACCAGGAGGAGGAGGAGGAGGAGGAGGAGGACAAAAGCAAGAATACTGTAATAGTAATAATAAGAAGAATAACAAGAACAAAAGCAAGAAGAAGAAGAAGAAGAAGAAGAAGAAGAAGAAGAAGAAGAAGAA